CTAGCAAGGAGATCGGGCTGAAACTATAGCTACAAGCTATCCAAGGATGGTACTATAGAATGTCACCTCAAGGTAGGCCTAGTGGCGTCATCTCTTGGTTAGGCCGGAAACTTATCAATCCACCCTCGTATACTAAAACCGGACAACATTAATACCATATTCTATACTGTATCGTGCATTCTTATCAAATCTCATACAAAGTATACTGAGATCGTGTTCGTTGAGACAAGGTCAACAGGGTTGAACACTGAGCAAGGCAGCCGGTTCTTAAACGATAATGCGTTCGTTTTTAGTTTGCAACAAATAATTCCCGTTTTGAACAACGTTTGAAGTTTGAAGGAAGGTGTAGAATTTCAGGATTAATAATAATAATAACATGCTTTTACACCGGAAATACTTTAAAGTGGCATTTTAGATATTGCTAGCAAAAGTTGAACTTCCGCGTGGCACGAACAACACTTCCGCTGTAAACTAAAAACTTACCTAGATATTTTTATTATACAATAAGTAATGGACGAGATAATTTCGATAACAAAACAAAATTTCTCCTGTGCAATCGTAACGTAGAAAGGGATTTAGCTAATCTTCTACTGTAATTTAATACTGTCTTCAAGAAATTTCACCTAACCACTCAAATAGTGGACAAAACAAAAACCCACGTAATGGTAAAAAGATTCTTAAATGCAGAAGTGACATTTAGTGTTAAAAGAGCTAAAATAACTTCCACAACTAGATTTACAATTAGCGAAAAATCAATATTAAATGGAAACACTAAGCAATGCATGCACAGTGATAACCAAAGAAACCATTTTGTGACTTAATAGGGCAGTTAATTTATTACTCTTCTAGTTGACTCAATTAATTTAAAAGGGGTTCAATCTGAGTCAAGACTTTTGGGATTTGAGCCTTCTTGGCTCTTTCAGAAAAGTACGAAACAATTAACTGTCCTAGATCTATCAGGCCTATCATATCCTAGAATACTTGTTGTGGTAGTACTACAAATTGGACATTGTGTGAATATCCACTTCATGCGAAAATTGGATTGTGAAGAATTCACCATCATTCCATCACCGTAATTTCCACTTAACTTCAGCGTTTCTGGAGGCGGTTAACACTAAAGGCCAGTAGAAAAAATTAAAAGTAGCGATTTAGTCGGATTGCTTGCGACAGAGACAACAGAGCAGGTTAGGTTACGTCGTACCATTAGGCGCTTCATACTTTATTGCACTTGCATCAAAGTGATCTAGGAATTGAAGGAGATTCTGAAGACTATGAGAAGTAAACGTCATTGGAATAATTTTGTACTTAATCCTAATCGTTAAAATGTAAATGCCTCATGTATTTAAATGGGTATTCCGCGATACCGAAGTGATTACATCTTCTATCACCTATCCAGACACTGCTTGGCTACTACGCATATCATCGAGAGGAAAAAATAATGTATTTATTTTATTTTTTTTTATTGTTGCAAATAGCGAGGGTATCTGGAATGAAGTTCCCGACAAAACTTCATTACGGCCAACTTGAGATAATCCGTATGTTGCATAATAGCACTAGTCCACCTGCAGTGTTCGACTTGGCGTCCTGATTAAATACAATTTCCTGTTAAGATAAGGACATTTTCGACATGCTAAGGAACGTAGACGCGTTGAGAGCTAGTAACGATGTTGCATGTTGCTTCGTTAATCAAATTTAATACTTCCTGCGAAACCATTAAACGATTCATAAGTAGTGGCAATCTATTTCGCGAGAAAGAGAGATAGAGAGGCCTCCTCCATGTATTGCCAATCTATAACTGCACGTGTATAGTGTATCTGCGTGCGGTGTTGGGGAGAATAGTTATTCAAACGAAACCTTCATTGCCATACGAAGATAATGGAATGTTAATTATACGTTAAGCGTAAAATCGACAAACATAATAATAATAATAACCTTAAGTGAATGACCATATTTGCATTAGCAAATGTGGAACGAACTTGGATGTACAAAGGTTCCGGTAGATATTCAGTAGAATTTTTGAATATGGAGAATGATGCAGAAACAAACGGGATGGTCATCATCAGAAGGTCTTCAGTACTAAGGCTGATTGGGCACGCACTTCACCTCTTTCCTATCCTCAGCTAATCTTCACATTTCCCTAATAGTAGAACATCTCATATCCATAACAGTATTATAATCTAGGTTTACATATCTCTACTATTAGGTGCTGTTTTTGGCTTCTAATATTTCTCAACTTAGCCCTTCGTGCTTGGAAAGATATCTCCTAACCTACTTCGCCTATTTCTTATTGACTTCCATAGCACCCTCTGCTCTTCTACTCTTTTTATTATCTCCTCATTCCTAACCCTTTATATCCATGGTATCCTAATCACATGCCTTACAGGCGAATGATGAGGATACCGTGGATGCAGAAGCTTAGAAATGAAGAGGTTTTAAAAAGAATAGGAGAACAGAGGACTCTGTGGAAGTCAATAACAAATAGGCGAGATAAGTTGGTAGGACACCATCTCAAGCACTATTCACGGTATCCTCATAATTCGCCTGTAACACCACATTTCGAACCCTTCTAATGGGATGGTGTAGTGATAATAATCATTAGGATATTAAAATTTACACACTCCAGTTCAAGTACTTCATCTCTTCTAAACATCAGCAGTTTATCAAAATTGCCAAATGTGGATCGCAATTGAATAAATTCAATTAAAGTTGATGTTAACCCCATGTCTCAAAAATTACTAGTGATGTCTTCACTTTAGCTATTCTTGCAGCATTTCAGAATTTGCCTTGTAAACCAACAAAACAATATTCAACATTTACAATTACTTATGCCATTGAACAACAATGTGTCTAAAGCGAAATTCCATCTCAGTGATGAAAGAGAAAGGAAGGATGAATAACGATTTCAGTCAGCTGTATTGAAAGAAAACTGAACTGCAACAATTTGTAAGATTGTAAAAAGTACTCAATTATTGTGACTTAACTACATCAAACCCTTTACTAATGCACCACTTCCGTACGAATTTTCCATATCGTTTCTGGGAACAACAAGCAGGAGGAAGTAGTAGTTGAGCTTGTCATCGCTACTAAACGTAAACGAAAGTAGATCGTAAAAACATGCCTCTGAAAGAATCCCTCCAGTTGAAGGTAAACAAAAGCCTTATAAATACACCGCCTTTGAGCTACGCTGCAGGTGCAGCTGGTGCAGGGTTGAGACTTGAGTGGTGCCCTATAGAACCCAAATGTTCTGTTATTGTATGGACTTCTGTTGTATTCGTTTCACAGGTGCAGTCCAGACGCCAGACAAACCCGAATTTATCGTCTCTGTCATGATCCTAATAATAATGCACCGGCAAGCGGGTTGATGTGGCAGAGTATAATCAAACATTTACGCGTTTTTGATTCAAGTGAAACAAAATTTGGTCATAGAATTTCAATCGGTAACTTCTTGTATGTCATTTATTTAATTAAAAGAAATATTTTGATGACACCCCCGATGAGTTAACATGGGAATTACATAATTATGAATGTGTACGCGATTCTACCGTATGTCTAATTGCTTTATTTTTCAATCGTTAAGAGTGTTGTTCTTTTAAAACTTGTATAAAATGGCACCAGACATGTTACGTCCTTATGTCTTCGGGACCGATTACCTGTAAATATTACTCATCGCCATACCTGGGCAACTGGGCATGCCTGACTAATGTCCAAGTAACAGGTTTCTAAATTGCATTAATAGGTATTTATTGGAAATCGCCTAAATTTATTAAACAGGTTTTCAACTTTAACATTTGCTGTAGTTCAATTACAATAAACGAATATCACTTATTGGCGCGTCTATCAAGAAATCCGTTTATCTTTACACATCACTGGTTGAGATAATCTTACCTTAATGGTATTTTGTCAAAGTGGAATTACATAGGAAGATGGAAGTTTTTTAAGTATGTCCACACTTTTTAAATACAGTTCACATCAGTTTAACAAACAACCTTATCAAACTAATCACAAAATGGAAGTAACTTCATATACCTATACAATACTGAGTTCACGAAAATTACATTTCCGGAAAAAAATGATTGGACGAACTATTACTTCAACTCACAAGGCGATTGCAAAGGAAAGACTTGGATTCCGGCTGTTTCAAAACAACGTGGTCGGAAACTAAATAACTGACTGGCAAACAGCGAACCTTCGATTCACCACCACCACGTTTCATCGCAATCCGCGTGGAACGAACGCAATCCTAGCACTCAACAGGTAGAAAGGTGGGAGCATTTATTAATAGGAGAGGGTCGTGTATTTTCGATCTCAGTCGGTTCACAGGCGTGCGATTTTGAAAAGCTGCTACCAGCGCTGATCTGTGATCTCATTTACGGACGAAAAGATGATATTAAAGTATCGACCATAACTAGAGATCCATGGGAGGAATGGACAGCGCAAGGAAATTAATTATATGCGTAACGGTTATATATATTTTTTGATAATTGTAAAATATCAGTAGGATTAGTTTCTTTAAATAAAATGGAAGCGGCATTGACAAAATAGTACTGTATGAAAATAAATAAAATTAAAACCAAAATACTGAAGGTCTATCTTTGGAGCGTCACGTTGTACGAATGTGAAACATGGACGATGAGGAAGGCGAAAAAGAAAAGGTTAGAAACGTTCAAAATGTGGTGTTACAGATAAGTGGTGAGGATACCGTAGATAGGGAAGATTAGAAATGAAGAGGTATTAGAAAGAATAGGAGAACAGAGGACTCTATGGAAGTCAGTAAGAAATATGCAAAACAAGTTAGTTAGACACCTTCTCAGGTATGAAGAGGTAGTCAAAATCATATTAGAGGCAGAAATAGGAGTTAAGGGGAAAGGAAGTGCACCTAGATTAGATTACTGTTCATAAATAGTTAAGGATGTGGGATGCTCTGGTTTTAGGGAAATGCGAAGATTCGCTCAGGATAGTGTGGAAGTGCGTATCTAACCAGTCTTAGGACTGACGACTTTATGATGATGATGAGAGAACTTCATATGTGAAATTAGAAGTAATGGAATGGGAAGGGGGACGCTCTCTATGCCCTACAACATTAAACAGTCCAGGAAATGAACCGCTTCTATATATGTACCTATAATTGAAATTTCACTTTCAGGATTAAAATAGACATTCCAAAGGCATACTTTCTCAGTATAAACTCGTTGTATTCATTCTTTATAAGAACGGATACTTCGATAAAATTTTTCATGGATGCATTGTTTTCCAGTTTAATTACTCTTAATAACTGGAATTTTATTAACTTGCGTAGCAATTTAATTATTTCTATTGTCTTCTAAATGTAAGACAAATTATCCGTCAAGTATTGAAACAATTTACAGTAACAGCTGACGTTCCCGGTTCATTAGTAATCAGAGATAAAAGAGTCATTTGTCGTAAGATGTTCCATTTGACTCCAGGATTCTACTATTTAATTTTGACTTTCGTTTTTACATTTTTAATATTGACGAACCTTTGGTTATGAAGCTTAAAAAATATAAAAGTGTATTTGGTGTTAGATGATAATAAATATTGAATGTAATCACAGGGGCGCAAAAAGATTTATTGGAAAGTTTCGCCTAGGATTTAGATTCATCAGCGACCCCAAAAACATACGGTAGGCATAGTCAGACTCCAGGTCGAATTTTGCTTTTACTTGTTTTAGTGGATTCTGAAGTTTTCTTAGGGTTACGTCCAAGTACTGCCGCGCTGGGGTTAAATTGACAGAGGATTTGGATTCAAAGAGTCCAAAAACATACGGTATAAAAAGTTAGACCCCCAGGCCCAAATGTTCTTTAACAGTATTAGTGGATTTTGAAGTTTCTTTGGGATTATATCCAAACCCTGGGGTCCTGGGGGTTAAATTGACCATGTTTTTGGATTCAGCGATCCCAAAAGCATACGGTATGTAAAGGCAGATGTTTAACAGCTTTAGTGGATTTCGAAATCTTTTTGGGGTTATGTCCAAACACTAACGTGCTGGGGTTAAATCGAGCGACCCCAAAATCACACAGAAACATAGTCAAAGTCCCAGATCAAAACTTTTTTTGTGTAGCTGTGTTATTAACACGCCTTTTGGTTGCGAATATTGAAAAATCCAATCTTCGTTCTTCTCCACATCTCCACCAGTAATTAAAAACATATTAACCTGGTAGACGTATTAGAAGCAAGGCTATTTCGTTTCATATAGAGAGGATCTATAACAGATATTACATACCTATTTTGAATTATGTTATTCTCTGTTTAATTTCCTTTTAATGGTGTTTAAAAGTACAGTATCAAACCGTAGTTGTTGCAATGTCTGTTATTAATTGTGAATTATTAAGTATAATTTCATCCACTCCTAGACAACACACGTAATAAATGGGTAATGTCCCGAGGTTGATTGCAATTTTTAAAAATGTGTTAGAAGAAGAAGAAGAAGTTTAAGAAAACGTTTTACAATAAATGTGGACATAAACACTAACGAAGTCAAACATAAAGTGTCGATTTGTTTAAAAACGCAGTCAGCCAGGCCAGCGGCTTCTACCTAGCATACTTACCATATACGTACGCTCGTACCAGATAATGTAAGAGTTAAAATGTGAAAGGTCTAGCAGTTCGCACTTGGTTTAATATCAATCGAATCGATAGGAAATGTAATCGCCAGAGACCATAACCAATTAAAGTGAGATAAAGTGTTCACAATTCGGCCTGAAACATGCTCTTGTACATGAGCCAGCCAATGGCAGTTTGACCCTGACCTAATCGACTCTTTAATTATGTTTGCAGGCGAAAAATTTTCACTACAGCCGAAGTATTATACAGGGGTACAGTGCAATAGAATTGTTATAATCTCAATGAGTTGCTAAAGTGTAGTAAATTTTGTAAAGTTAATTTTGTTTTTGTTAGAAGCGTTCGAAATGTGGTGTTAGAGACGAATGATGAGGATACCGTGGATAGAGAAGGTTAGACATGAAGAGGTATCAGAAAGAATAGGCGAACAGAGGACTCTATGAAAGTCAATAAGAAATAGGCGAGATAGGTTGGTAGGACACCTTCTCAGGCATGAAGGTCTAGTCAGAGACATATTAGAGGTAGAAGCAGTAGTTTGGAGGAGTAGGAGTAGATCTAGATTAGATTACTATTTGCAAATAGTTAAGGATCAAGGATGTTCTAGTTTTAGGGAAATGCGAAGATTAGCTGAGAATTGGAACGAGTGGAGATGTGTGTCCAACCAGTCTTAGGATTAACGACCTTATGATGATAATGGTATATGAAGATTGGAAAAACTTTGGCGGTGTTGTAGAACAAACAAAATAGCTCAAAACCTCAACGCCAAAACACACACAAGGTTACTTTCTTCAGGGACAGTTCACTTCAGTCCCTGAAGAAGGTAACCTTGTTACTGAAAAGTGCTTCGGACAACTACAGTGTCGTGTTTTGGCGTTGGGGTTTTGAGCTATTATGATGATGATGATTTTGGGTTTAAGATGATACAATTTATCTAACAATTAGAATCTTCTGTTTGACTTATATCAGGCTTTTCATGTCATCTTTCCATTATTAAGTATAAAAGAATAAATTGACTGATTGATGTATCAGCACACAGCCGAAATCTTATGTTTAAAAGGTTCTTCTAGAATTCAACCGCTTAGGGGGTAAAAAGGGGGTTTAAAGTTTGATGTATCGTTCAAGGCATAGCCGAAACTGCTGAGCCAGGAAGCTTGGGATTTTGTACAAATGTTTCTTTTGTTTATACAACGGTATCGTCCACCCCTTAAGTTGTTAAATGGGGATTTGCGATATAATCGAATCGAATTGCATGGGCACCAGCCAGTTTGAGATAAAAAAGATAGAGATAGATCTTTTGGTCTTAGACTTAGAAATTACAAATCCTGGTTTTATAGTTTGGCGATTCTGATCACGACGAATTATTGAGCAGTAATAAAATGCGAATAGTGGTTATCAAACATCCAAAAAAGGAAATATAAAATCGTCACTATTTCTTTATATAAAATTGATTGGTTATTTTTTAGTGGCCCCTTATATATATGTATGTATATATTTCACGACTGCTTTCACTAGCTCTTCGTGCGAAACAGGTGCAAGTGAAGTTCTTTGATGCCCTACTTTCGTGATTTAGTAATTTCTTTGCTTTTTATTTTCGATACTTACACGATCTGTAAATCGCGCATCCCAGACATTGCACTGCGAGTTCAATACTTGACATTTTCGGAAGTTACCATAATTTCCCTTATTAATTTGAAATCATTTTTTATTTATCCTCTACAAAATACCTCAAATTAATGAGGGAAAAATTGTTGCTGTTGTTACACCCCCGACGGGAATCGAGCCCGGGACCTTTGGCTTTACGCACCAATGTTCTACCACTAAACTACGAGAGGTGACAACAGCAACCACGACCAACTAACCTACAAGGTTAACGATCCGTCGATTTTTCCCTCATTAATTTGAGATAGTTTGTAGAGGGTAAATAAAAAATCGAAAAAATGATTTCAAATTAATATTGCATATTAATCCACTATTAAGTAACTAACAATGTCATAAATATTTCATATAATTTCCCTTATTAACAAAAACTCTAACAGCAAAATAATCTATCACCTAAATATTTTACGACGTTAACCGATAACCATATTGCATTCTCCAAAATTGTGATACCCAGTTCTGGTGTTCAAAAGTCCCCCTTTCATTGTTGGAATTGTTTATTACCCCGGTTATAAGTTCAAAATTCTATTGGGAACACATTAAATGTTTATGACAGTCATAATTTAACTTAATCATCCCGAATACTTCAGGACAATTCCTAAACAAAAGTCAAAGGCAAATATAAGGTGATTTATATACGCAAGTTAACGCTGGTCCCATGTGCGTTGAATGGATGGCCAAAAATTTATACTGACAAAAGTTATTTGGAAATTAATGGAATGCAGCCAACGTATCCTAAAAGTTTTTGTAGTTTTAATTATTAGGAGTCAATGTCAAAATTTATTGCCCTATACATCATTCCGGTAACTTCTTAACCGATATGTGGAGGTACCTGGCGTCACAAAAGGAAACAAAAAATAAAAATAACAAACCAGAAACATCTCCAACGACTATGGAAGCAGAAAGGATGTACTAGATGAACTTAACTTAAAAAAATATCAGTAAAGTTTTCGTCTAAACTAATGTTGCTACATAATTTCATAGGTGCGTTTTTTAAA